AGAGCGGTTTGGGCTGGATCAAGCTGGCAGTGCTACTCTTCGGTATATTCGGCGTGGCGTTTCACCTGATGGGATTCGTACTCGTCGAGAAACTGTACTGGCCGACCCTGCTCTACTTGAGAAACCAGCTTTTTGCCCTCAGTTTCCTTTTAGCTTGCGTGCAGATACTGGACTTTCTGTCGTTCCATCACTTGTTCGGGCCCTGGGCGATCATTATCGGTAATCTTATGAAGGATCTCGCGAGGTTTCTCGCGGTGTTGGCCATCTTCGTCTTCGGCTTCTCCATGCATTTCGTCGCTCTCAATCAAGCATTCAAGAACCATAAATCGCTGCATGAAGCGCGCATGGAGGAAAGAAAATCGAGGCATCCGTTCGACGACGGTAAGTTTGAGATTCGTATTTTCTTTGTTCCCCTTCTTCAATCTCTTTTTTTACTGTGTATAATTTGACGCCATTCGAGTGGCGCAGTTAATTGTATTTTTTACAGCTCCTTCCATCTATAAGACATATACATATATATATGCGCACACATATATACTGTAGATATCGTAGATACATTATGTAGATACCTATATACGTAGGGTTAGATCTTAGATTGGCAATCGCTTCGAAGCGGTACTGGTTCTATGAACAGGATGTAGACAATGCTTTCGCCCACGCAGGTGCTAATTCGCGTGGGTACTATAATAACGACACAGAGTTTCCTTGATATATTCCCGTTCTATAAATTAGTAAAAACCGCGTACCTACCTTTCTATTCCCAGTGTCAGTCTATATCGAGAGTTATATAAAACTGGTATAATCTCGATGAATTTAGATTTCGATGTGACAAACGCATGTTATGTTAAAATCTAAAGTGAAACTTGCGTGAATTTTGTGAGTTTCAGTGGTAGTTTATATCAGTTTATGGAGGAAAAATTTCCATCCTCCCAAAAAGCGTTTCCCATCCTTTCACTAAATTTATTCCCGTCTCAAAGAAAGTCATTGATGTTGTGGGAATTCGCGCGATAGATATTTTTTATAATTATATTATTTATCGAGATTCCAAAGCAAGTCGGCTTTATATCGATCATACTCAGAGACATGCGGAACGATATGAAATCATAATCGAATGAATTACAATAATAGATGTGTTGGCCAATGTTACGGAATGGATGATGGAGACGCCACCAACGGAGGCGCCTCCTCGTCGCTACGGCCGCTACAGGAAAAAGAATGAGTGTTGTGACGATAACGACAGAGATAGTAAGTTTTGTTGGTTGAGAAAGATTAATCAGAAGCAACCGAGCGGAAAGTGAACTAAACAACAATCGCACACGTGAAACTGAATGCAGGACACGATCCATCTCGGTGTCGTCTCGTCTGCATCGTGCATTTGGCCAGTGTGTGTGCGTGTGTATGTTGTCTGCTGAGACTGCTGCCTGATATGATGAAAATATGAATAAAAATAGAGAGGAAACAGAAAAGATACGCAACGCCCGATATCATTCCTCGTTCATCTCGTATGCTGCGATTCGGAAGCGACAGTAAAAATATAAAGAGGGAAAGCAATCAATGGAATTTGTTAAGAATAATATCTCAATTATAATAAATATGACATGTTATTCACACACACACACATATAACACAAATATAACATATGCAACATTAATTATTTATTTAAAATGTAGAATTTGAAAAAGATTTTTTAAATGTATTTTTTTTTTGTTCAGATCTAGACGTGTCCGCGTCGCAGCTTACCGAATGAATATCTTATATTGATCTCAGACAACGTTCTGTCTATGCAGTTGATTAGATATCGATTAGCATTATTGGCCGGAGCATATGTGCTCGTGTTTTCTTTCACAGCCTCTGTCCGTGTGCATCCCCGTGCTGTACGTATACGTCCATATATGTACATACATGAACGCACACATATGTATGTGTATGTACGTGTGTGTGTGTTTCCATGTATCTGTATATTACCTGTATTATTTAGTAGGTTATTAGAACTGTTCTATGCTAGTGGACGCCGATGTTGTCTCAATTCATGGTGTGCATCAACCGCACGCTCGTTTTATATGTGATTCTCGAAATCGATCTTACGGACTGTTCCATCCCGCAAAAAAAATTGCTCGTGTTCGCGCTTTCTTTTTACTTTTTTTTACACCGGATCGTTACAGGACAGCCTTTCGGGCTGAAGAAAAGATTTTTCCCTCTCCTCTCCCATGTTCTTGCATGCAAGCAACATTTACGCGGTATATTGCGTCCGCCTTTGAAGAATCGCGCAAGCCAGACATGCAAGGGAGGCGTGCATCTCCGAGCTGCATGCCGCATCCTTTTTTATCCACTACAAACATATGTGCGGTATGTTTCTTTAAAATCTCCACCCGCGCTCTCCCTTTCTCTCATTTAGCACGGTACGCACGATTATATGATTAAACGCCAATCGTTCGACCACTGGCTGCCTCGGGAAAGAAGCGCATCGATAAAAACAAAACGCATTTCTTCGTCCGTTCAGCAAGACTCTTAGTCGCTGGACTCGTCGCGCGTTCTGAAACGCGCGGATTTCGACGCGTACAATTTCATCGTTTATGAGTAATTTTTAGCGCGGGACGACGAATAGAAAAGAAAAAAAAAAGAGAAATGAATCACGCGAAGCGATTACATCCGAATCGGATGTAAAAGCAAGACGAATTCGAGCGACGAGACTGAAAGATCGAGTGGCAGTACGTACTCGACGATGAAGCTGCAATCTGCAATTGAGAAATTGTCATGGCATGCATCCGGCGCATTAGTTCGCAGCTGCAGCTGCAGAGCATGGCCAGAGTCTATATAAAAAGATGCATGAGCATGTTCGTTCCTCCGTTTACTCGTTTGTTCGCTCGCTCGCTCGCTCGCTCGCTCGATCGTTCGTTATGGAATCTTTCACACGTGTGCATTCATATATTATAAAATAGCGGGTATCCACCACAGTAGTAGCCAGAATCTGTAATGGCACGAATGGCAATGAGCTAAAGAGAAAGAAAGAGCTCTTAGAGCTACCAAGAAAACGTCTTGTGTGTGTGTGCCTCGTAATTCCAGTAAAGATGAATCCGGTACTCGCCTTCGAGTATCTATTCTTCGCCGTCTTCGGACAAACGACCCACGGCGAGCTGAAGGTCGAGCACAATCAGCCGCAGTGGACCTCGGTCCTCTTCAAGTTGACCTTTGGCGTGTACATGTTGGTCTCGGTAGTGGTGTTGATTAATCTGCTGATCGCCATGATGAGCGACACGTATCAACGGATACAGGCGCAGTCGGACATTGAGTGGAAATATGGACTCAGTAAACTGATCCGTAACATGCACAGGTAAGCCCGCGATCTTTTAAGACCCGAATAAGCGCGCGATAAGCATATGATAACCGGGCGCTGGTTAAAATAGCATATCGAATTATCTCTTACCTCGTCCGCGATGCAGAGAACGTTAACGTTAAAAATAAAGTAACGTTATCTTTTGCGTTTCTTATTCGTGTTCATCCATCCCGCGTCTGACAAGACACGGACACCGTTCGAGCGGTTGTCGTTCGCCTTTACATAATGTACAATACTACTTTTGTACAGCCGCGCGGTCTCGATGCGATCCCTTAAGTAGCTCGCTGTTAAGCATACGGGGTTAGCGGAGCACTCCGTGTAGGAAACGCGATTGCGTGTTGCAGAACTACCACAGCTCCGTCCCCGTTAAACTTGCTCACCACATGGACGGTGTACTTCATCAAGCTATGCAAGCAGCGCGCCGCTAAACGTAAACGGCCGTCGTTGGTGCACATGATGGGGCTGCAGCACGCCAGCCGTTTATCGCCCAGATCGAAGATGGGCGCAAAATGGTTGGCTAAGGTTAAGAAAGGTCAAGTCCGTCCAAAGGATAGCATGACCCTCTCCGTAGTACACCTCAGCCCGCTGGGCAGTCAGCTGTCCTTCAATACAGCGACTAGAATAGAAAACGTGGTGGACTGGGACTCGATCAGGAAGAAGTATCTCGTCCTGACTGGCAACGAGCCCGAGAAGGAAGAGGCGGAAAAGGAGGAAAAAGGCGACGAGGAGGAGAATGAGGACGAGAAAGGGCAGACGGCTTCCAACGCCTGCTGATCGCCATGATGAGCGACACGTATCAACGGATACAGGCGCAGTCGGACATTGAGTGGAAATATGGACTCAGTAAACTGATCCGTAACATGCACAGGTAAGCCCGCGATCTTTTAAGACCCGAATAAGCGCGCGATAAGCATATGATAACCGGGCGCTGGTTAAAATAGCATATCGAATTATCTCTTACCTCGTCCGCGATGCAGAGAACGTTAACGTTAAAAATAAAGTAACGTTATCTTTTGCGTTTCTTATTCGTGTTCATCCATCCCGCGTCTGACAAGACACGGACACCGTTCGAGCGGTTGTCGTTCGCCTTTACATAATGTACAATACTACTTTTGTACAGCCGCGCGGTCTCGATGCGATCCCTTAAGTAGCTCGCTGTTAAGCATACGGGGTTAGCGGAGCACTCCGTGTAGGAAACGCGATTGCGTGTTGCAGAACTACCACAGCTCCGTCCCCGTTAAACTTGCTCACCACATGGACGGTGTACTTCATCAAGCTATGCAAGCAGCGCGCCGCTAAACGTAAACGGCCGTCGTTGGTGCACATGATGGGGCTGCAGCACGCCAGCCGTTTATCGCCCAGATCGAAGATGGGCGCAAAATGGTTGGCTAAGGTTAAGAAAGGTCAAGTCCGTCCAAAGGATAGCATGACCCTCTCCGTAGTACACCTCAGCCCGCTGGGCAGTCAGCTGTCCTTCAATACAGCGACTAGAATAGAAAACGTGGTGGACTGGGACTCGATCAGGAAGAAGTATCTCGTCCTGACTGGCAACGAGCCCGAGAAGGAAGAGGCGGAAAAGGAGGAAAAAGGCGACGAGGAGGAGAATGAGGACGAGAAAGGGCAGACGGCTTCCAACGCCTCGACGATACCGGCGACGACGGTCCCGAATCTGCCCGTCTAAAGATCATCCATCACGTCGGATGCTGGACGCGAGTCTGCGCGAAAAAAACGCAGCAGCGCGAACAAACGAGCGATCAGATACAGTTGCGAAAGCGCGTTACGCTATTATGTACTTAACAGAGACAGACTTAAATACAAAGTGCGCTGTAAAAAAGATATTCTCCACATATTCGCCAAGAATAATTTTTTACATAAAATCGTACACCGCTACCGCAGACACACAAATATCCGACGATCGAGCGAGACCATCCACATAAAGGATCGATTCTTGCGCGACGACCGGCCTAGCATTTTAAGCATCTAAGTAAGTAAAGTCCCGACGTGATTCGTGAATCTCGTAGGAATGTATATGTATATAATTGATGTTGTTTGTCAGATATGAGTATGAAAATCAATTTTGTCGACACATCATATCCTTCTCCGTCACACGGCATGACCGGATAATGCCTGCGAATGTCAAATCCCCACATCGCCACATCCGCTCGCTCGATGCTTCATTGAATGTTGGATCAATCATTCGCGACATCATAATTTTCGTGTTTCTTGTGGAATACAGAATCTCGATCGACTCGTTGCGATAAAATTCTTTTTCAGAGCCTCTCATTGTAAACATGAATTTAAGTTAAATGTGAGACTTAATTTTTTTAAATCTATAAATTTTTTTTGTAGAAAAAAATGGAAAGGATTTTTTAGATAGTTAAATCTCCGTTGTTAACTTCAACATTTAAGCGGTCGTTTCATATAATAATAAATTAATACTGGCAACACAAACATCTAAAGACGCATCATCTAAACTAAAGATATCTTAATTTTTCAGATGTTTTTTAGACAGTTGGAATAATTGCACGTAACATATATCACAATCTCCTAGTCTCTCTTATGTCTCATGTGCTTAAAATTAGAAATCGTCTCGTTAGAAAAAAAATGTGTTTCTCTTAGGATGCTTGGACCTTTCCTGATGAGAGAGCCAAAGAGTTCATGCGAATTGCAGCAAACACATACCTTGTATGGCTTAAAATCGATTCATTTTGCGACGTTTGAAGTAGTAGCAACGTTAGCATGTATCTGAACAATGGCAGAGAATTTTTTATAAATTTTGCATACGCTCGCGCGCATTTACACGAGACATTTTTTACGAGACACGTTATTAACACATTTACAGTCAGGATAAGTCCCATATATGTGATCGAGTTGTTGTTCTTCGCCATCTTCGGTCAGACGACACACGAACAATTGAAGGAAGAAAGTTACCAGCCCGATTGGACGAAGGTCTTCTTCAAGCTCGCCTTCGGCATTTACATGTTGGTGTCGGTGGTGGTGCTTATTAATCTCTTGATCGCCATGATGAGCGATACCTATCAGCGGATACAGGCTCAGTCAGACATCGAGTGGAAGTACGGATTGAGCAAGCTTGTTCGAAACATGCACAGGTAAGAAAAAAAACGGGGTTTTTAGAGGAAATAAAAAAAGAAACGAAGGAGACAATAAGGATGTAAGAAAGAAATAAACGATACAATTTGTTGCACGTCATCGCATCTTTCGCCGTCACACTAATCGATCCGCATTTTCGACATGTAACAGGACCACCACAGCACCGTCCCCGCTAAATCTCTTCTCTACATGGATCACGTACTTGTGCAAGCTCTGCAAGAAACGCTTCACCAAGAAACAACAACGGCCCTCTCTGATGCACCTGATGACCGGTACTCGCATGTCCCCTCGCTCTAGAATGGGGGCAAAATGGCTGTCCAAAGTGAAGGGCAGACAAATCGGGCACAAGGACAGTGTCGCCTTATCGGTCACTCATCTAAGTCCACTTGGGAGCCAATTGTCCTTCAGTAACACTGCTAAGATCGATAACGTTGTCGACTGGGAAGTCGTCAGGCGCAAGTACAGGGACTTGTACGGCGAGGAAGACGAGGAAAAATCAGAAGAGAACAAGGACTCGACGGAGACGAATCCGCTGGCGGCCTTGGAGGGATCGAACAACAAGAAATCGAAGCTGCTTGGTGCTTGAACGTCAAAAGAAAATACTGGAGAAGGAGATTTATTCACCGACAATATTCTATATAGCTCTCGCGCCAGAAAGAGAAAAGGATTCTCGCTTTCGCGGATCCGCCGCTTTAAATGCGCTGCTAAAACGCATACATTTATGTACTTGTACATAACGCGTGAAGACCCTTGTCAATACTTTTGAAATAAACGCCTAATTCGATCTTGCCTCGCTTGTACAGTTATTATTAAGCTAGCAAACCCATTCCTTGTGATCCATAGTCTAATTGATTGCCTATACCACATTTTAGAGACTACCATGGGGAATACCCGTGTGCATAGGAATCATTCTACGTCACGTTTGACGGTTAGTCTCTCTCTCATTAACATTATTAATTATAAATCTTTCTCTTTCCCACCTGGAATGTTTTATCGATTATGTACATATGTATTTTACATATATATATACATATATACGGTATGTTTCTTTAAAATCTCCACCCGCGCTCTCCCTTTCTCTCATTTAGCACGGTACGCACGATTATATGATTAAACGCCAATCGTTCGACCACTGGCTGCCTCGGGAAAGAAGCGCATCGATAAAAACAAAACGCATTTCTTCGTCCGTTCAGCAAGACTCTTAGTCGCTGGACTCGTCGCGCGTTCTGAAACGCGCGGATTTCGACGCGTACAATTTCATCGTTTATGAGTAATTTTTAGCGCGGGACGACGAATAGAAAAGAAAAAAAAAAGAGAAATGAATCACGCGAAGCGATTACATCCGAATCGGATGTAAAAGCAAGACGAATTCGAGCGACGAGACTGAAAGATCGAGTGGCAGTACGTACTCGACGATGAAGCTGCAATCTGCAATTGAGAAATTGTCATGGCATGCATCCGGCGCATTAGTTCGCAGCTGCAGCTGCAGAGCATGGCCAGAGTCTATATAAAAAGATGCATGAGCATGTTCGTTCCTCCGTTTACTCGTTTGTTCGCTCGCTCGCTCGCTCGCTCGCTCGATCGTTCGTTATGGAATCTTTCACACGTGTGCATTCATATATTATAAAATAGCGGGTATCCACCACAGTAGTAGCCAGAATCTGTAATGGCACGAATGGCAATGAGCTAAAGAGAAAGAAAGAGCTCTTAGAGCTACCAAGAAAACGTCTTGTGTGTGTGTGCCTCGTAATTCCAGTAAAGATGAATCCGGTACTCGCCTTCGAGTATCTATTCTTCGCCGTCTTCGGACAAACGACCCACGGCGAGCTGAAGGTCGAGCACAATCAGCCGCAGTGGACCTCGGTCCTCTTCAAGTTGACCTTTGGCGTGTACATGTTGGTCTCGGTAGTGGTGTTGATTAATCTGCTGATCGCCATGATGAGCGACACGTATCAACGGATACAGGCGCAGTCGGACATTGAGTGGAAATATGGACTCAGTAAACTGATCCGTAACATGCACAGGTAAGCCCGCGATCTTTTAAGACCCGAATAAGCGCGCGATAAGCATATGATAACCGGGCGCTGGTTAAAATAGCATATCGAATTATCTCTTACCTCGTCCGCGATGCAGAGAACGTTAACGTTAAAAATAAAGTAACGTTATCTTTTGCGTTTCTTATTCGTGTTCATCCATCCCGCGTCTGACAAGACACGGACACCGTTCGAGCGGTTGTCGTTCGCCTTTACATAATGTACAATACTACTTTTGTACAGCCGCGCGGTCTCGATGCGATCCCTTAAGTAGCTCGCTGTTAAGCATACGGGGTTAGCGGAGCACTCCGTGTAGGAAACGCGATTGCGTGTTGCAGAACTACCACAGCTCCGTCCCCGTTAAACTTGCTCACCACATGGACGGTGTACTTCATCAAGCTATGCAAGCAGCGCGCCGCTAAACGTAAACGGCCGTCGTTGGTGCACATGATGGGGCTGCAGCACGCCAGCCGTTTATCGCCCAGATCGAAGATGGGCGCAAAATGGTTGGCTAAGGTTAAGAAAGGTCAAGTCCGTCCAAAGGATAGCATGACCCTCTCCGTAGTACACCTCAGCCCGCTGGGCAGTCAGCTGTCCTTCAATACAGCGACTAGAATAGAAAACGTGGTGGACTGGGACTCGATCAGGAAGAAGTATCTCGTCCTGACTGGCAACGAGCCCGAGAAGGAAGAGGCGGAAAAGGAGGAAAAAGGCGACGAGGAGGAGAATGAGGACGAGAAAGGGCAGACGGCTTCCAACGCCTCGACGATACCGGCGACGACGGTCCCGAATCTGCCCGTCTAAAGATCATCCATCACGTCGGATGCTGGACGCGAGTCTGCGCGAAAAAAACGCAGCAGCGCGAACAAACGAGCGATCAGATACAGTTGCGAAAGCGCGTTACGCTATTATGTACTTAACAGAGACAGACTTAAATACAAAGTGCGCTGTAAAAAAGATATTCTCCACATATTCGCCAAGAATAATTTTTTACATAAAATCGTACACCGCTACCGCAGACACACAAATATCCGACGATCGAGCGAGACCATCCACATAAAGGATCGATTCTTGCGCGACGACCGGCCTAGCATTTTAAGCATCTAAGTAAGTAAAGTCCCGACGTGATTCGTGAATCTCGTAGGAATGTATATGTATATAATTGATGTTGTTTGTCAGATATGAGTATGAAAATCAATTTTGTCGACACATCATATCCTTCTCCGTCACACGGCATGACCGGATAATGCCTGCGAATGTCAAATCCCCACATCGCCACATCCGCTCGCTCGATGCTTCATTGAATGTTGGATCAATCATTCGCGACATCATAATTTTCGTGTTTCTTGTGGGATACAGAATCTCGATCGACTCGTTGCGATAAAATTCTTTTTCAGAGCCTCTCATTGTAAACATGAATTTAAGTTAAATGTGAGACTTAATTTTTTTAAATCTATAAATTTTTTTTGTAGAAAAAAATGGAAAGGATTTTTTAGATAGTTAAATCTCCGTTGTTAACTTCAACATTTAAGCGGTCGTTTCATATAATAATAAATTAATACTGGCAACACAAACATCTAAAGACGCATCATCTAAACTAAAGATATCTTAATTTTTCAGATGTTTTTTAGACAGTTGGAATAATTGCACGTAACATATATCACAATCTCCTAGTCTCTCTTATGTCTCATGTGCTTAAAATTAGAAATCGTCTCGTTAGAAAAAAAATGTGTTTCTCTTAGGATGCTTGGACCTTTCCTGATGAGAGAGCCAAAGAGTTCATGCGAATTGCAGCAAACACATACCTTGTATGGCTTAAAATCGATTCATTTTGCGACGTTTGAAGTAGTAGCAACGTTAGCATGTATCTGAACAATGGCAGAGAATTTTTTATAAATTTTGCATACGCTCGCGCGCATTTACACGAGACATTTTTTACGAGACACGTTATTAACACATTTACAGTCAGGATAAGTCCCATATATGTGATCGAGTTGTTGTTCTTCGCCATCTTCGGTCAGACGACACACGAACAATTGAAGGAAGAAAGTTACCAGCCCGATTGGACGAAGGTCTTCTTCAAGCTCGCCTTCGGCATTTACATGTTGGTGTCGGTGGTGGTGCTTATTAATCTCTTGATCGCCATGATGAGCGATACCTATCAGCGGATACAGGCTCAGTCAGACATCGAGTGGAAGTACGGATTGAGCAAGCTTGTTCGAAACATGCACAGGTAAGAAAAAAAACGGGGTTTTTAGAGGAAATAAAAAAAGAAACGAAGGAGACAATAAGGATGTAAGAAAGAAATAAACGATACAATTTGTTGCACGTCATCGCATCTTTCGCCGTCACACTAATCGATCCGCATTTTCGACATGTAACAGGACCACCACAGCACCGTCCCCGCTAAATCTCTTCTCTACATGGATCACGTACTTGTGCAAGCTCTGCAAGAAACGCTTCACCAAGAAACAACAACGGCCCTCTCTGATGCACCTGATGACCGGTACTCGCATGTCCCCTCGCTCTAGAATGGGGGCAAAATGGCTGTCCAAAGTGAAGGGCAGACAAATCGGGCACAAGGACAGTGTCGCCTTATCGGTCACTCATCTAAGTCCACTTGGGAGCCAATTGTCCTTCAGTAACACTGCTAAGATCGATAACGTTGTCGACTGGGAAGTCGTCAGGCGCAAGTACAGGGACTTGTACGGCGAGGAAGACGAGGAAAAATCAGAAGAGAACAAGGACTCGACGGAGACGAATCCGCTGGCGGCCTTGGAGGGATCGAACAACAAGAAATCGAAGCTGCTTGGTGCTTGAACGTCAAAAGAAAATACTGGAGAAGGAGATTTATTCACCGACAATATTCTATATAGCTCTCGCGCCAGAAAGAGAAAAGGATTCTCGCTTTCGCGGATCCGCCGCTTTAAATGCGCTGCTAAAACGCATACATTTATGTACTTGTACATAACGCGTGAAGACCCTTGTCAATACTTTTGAAATAAACGCCTAATTCGATCTTGCCTCGCTTGTACAGTTATTATTAAGCTAGCAAACCCATTCCTTGTGATCCATAGTCTAATTGATTGCCTATACCACATTTTAGAGACTACCATGGGGAATACCCGTGTGCATAGGAATCATTCTACGTCACGTTTGACGGTTAGTCTCTCTCTCATTAACATTATTAATTATAAATCTTTCTCTTTCCCACCTGGAATGTTTTATCGATTATGTACATATGTATTTTACATATATATATACATATATATATATATATATATATATATATATATATATATATATATATATATATATATATATATATATATATATATATATATATATATATATATATATATATATATATATATATATATATATATATATATATATATATATATATATATATATATATATATATATATATATATATATATATATATATATATATATATATATATATATATATATTTATATATATATTGCGCGATATTACGTAAAGATTCTGTTGCAATGCGATGCACGCGCCGATCATTATGCCTGCATCATATTGCTCACGATATTCTCGCGTAATGTATCAACGCGCTCGGTACACATATCTACAAGATGTGTATCCATACATAGGGTTGCAAAACCGCGATATCACGTTAGAACTGCCTTCGAAAAGCTCACGTCATTATATACATACACATAAAATTGATGTGTAGCATGTATATTCGCTGATACGTTGATTGTGAAGTTGAACAAAATTGTACGTGCCTACTGGATTCACCTCCCAATCATACGCACATTGTAAAGTTCAGCCAGCACGCATCATCAAAATGTATACCCTGTAAAAAATAGTTGAATTAAAATCAATTCTCAAAGGGATTTATTTCTGTATATAATGAACATAATGAATCTTTAAAATCGGACTTCAGTTTAGAAATTATGAATTTGCTTCTAATCCCCTTTCTAAAATAATTTGTATACAAATTATTTGTATACAAATTATTTTTTAGATCGAATATGGAATAAAGAAATATTCTTATTTCTAATATATAGAAATATTACTTTAATAATTATTAATTTAATATAAAACTTTTACTATAGAAATTGATTTTCCTTTTAAGCTCCGTCTGATTGTCGGATATCATGAAAATAAAATGTGTATTTATAGAGAAAGAAGAAGAAAATTTTATAATTTTAGAATCCACACATTCACAATTTTTATACATTAGGAATTTTACAAAATTAAATTTCACAGAAAAATATTTCTCTGTAGATTTTTTTTTTAATTTCTCTATTTTACGCAGGGTGCATAAAAGCGACTCGAAATGCAGTTCTCATGTTGCAAGCCGCATTCATCTCATCCATCTTACATTTGAATGCGTTTAAAAACTTTTCTCACCGATATATCCAATATGAACACCTTCGCAATTTATTACTCATTGTCAGTGTTTACTGTCATCGAAATCTATACTGCGTTGCTCATCTCATCGCATGTTTTAAATTTTATAAAGCTCGCTGATTTTTCTTCTGATTGATCAATTTTTACTAAAGAACGAATAACACAGTTGACTATCGTCAGCATGAATCTTTACAGAGTTTAATAGCCCAAGAAAAACTGTAAATACATATTTATATATTATACGATTTTTCTGCTTATAGCCAGAATGAAACGACGAATAGGCAATAGTAACACATGATTTTTATTTCGTATCAGAAAAGTGCGAAATTTTTGCAATTCTAATGCAATATATCTAACAATAAGAATAGCTACTAGTTATAGACACATACTAACTAGTTGTACTATACCGCTGTATATTAGCATAGGAAAAAATCTATGATTTTTAATAATGTATAGCTGCGTACATATAATAAGTAAGATATCGATATAATTCATTTAATTTATTTTTCTCTGTTTGCACAGTGAAAGTTAGTGCAATCGATATCACGGAGAATCTTTTCTTCGCCATTTTCGGCAAAAAAGACACTGACGACTTTACAATTTCGTTCAGAAATAATCTGCAGCCAAGATGGACTGTTTATCTATTCAAGGTGTGGAATCAATATTACATTATATTATTATCAGGTGATTGCATAAGTTCGTGCCCGATTTAAATATAAACTTCAATAGATTATATTTTAGAGATAACACTTTTATTAATCAATTATATAGTCTCCATTCTTTTCTACAATGGTTTTCCAACGATCTACAAGCTTGTCGATTCCATTTTTGAAGAAAGAACTTGGTTTTTCTTGAAAAAAGTTTGTAAGGTGGTTTTCAACAGCTTCCTCGGAATTGAGATTCTTGCCATTTAAACTATTCTGCAAAGACCGGAACAGATAAAAATCTGAAGGCGCAATATCTGGAGAATATGGCAGGTGCTGCAGAATTTCCCATTGCAACTCCTGCAGTTTTCACAGCGTCTGTTGAGCGACGTGTGGCCTAGCATTGTCGTGGTGGAAGATGACGCCTTTTCGATTGGCCAAAATCGGACGTTTTTCTCGAATAGCTGCAGCGAGTCTAGTTAGTTGCTCACAGTACTTGTCCGCCGTGATTGTTTCGCCGCGTCGGAGCAGCTCAAAGTAAATAATTCCCTTGCGATCCCACCAAACACACAGCAACACCTTCATCGGATGCAAGCCAGCCTTTGCTACGGGTTCTGCTCCTTCAGCTGCTGTTTTCCATGTCCTCTTTCGCTGTACGTTTTTGTAGAGAATCCACTTTTCATCGCCTGTTACCATTCGATCTAAAAAAGGCTTTTTTTTGTTACGCTCGAGAAGAGAAAGAGCCACAGTCATACGGTTTAGCTTATTCCTTTCAGTCAGGAGATGCGGCACCCATGTATCAAGCTTGGAAACGTATCCAAGCTTTTTTAAATGACGAAAAGCGGTTGAATTATCGATGTTCAGCCTCTCAGCAATATCCTCAGTTGTAATCCTTGGGTTTCTTTCCACTAAGGCATGCACAATGTCATTATCAATGCCAGAAGGCCGTCCAGAGCGGGGTTGATCCTCCATGTTGAAATTACCATTTCGAAATCTGCCAAACCACTTTTTGACTGTTCGGAGAGCAGGAGCGTGGTCCAAATAAACGGTTTGAATATTTTTTTGTGCAGTCCCAACACTCACGCCTTTCCGAAATTCATATAACATTACATGCTGCAAATGCACCTTTTCGTTCTCCATTTTTAATGATTTCTCTTATGCACAACTGGACTTATCTGAACAATGTCTGACGCTAAATTGACATAAGACAACGTCATCTATTCGGTGTAAGCAACAATTACCACACGAAAACAATAGAACTCCGCCATGCAGTAACTTAATGCCATCTATGAAAATCGGGCACGAACTTATGCAATCATCCAATATTTATACATTATCTGCCTAAAAATTTATGTACCCATATATGTAACAAATAATTATTTTCCTTTCTACAGGTATCATTCTCTTCATACATGCTCGTCAGTGTTATAGTATTGATTAATTTATTAATTGCTATGATGAGCGATACATATCACAAAGTGATATCACAGAGTGATATCGAATGGAAGTATGGTCTCAGCAAACTAATACGTAAGATGCAAAAGTAAGTAAATAAATTTCCACACATTTCCACAAGATTTCTCTCTCTTAAAGATTATTTTAAAACTCCTTAATTTCTAACATCACGTAACTCTTTGATCAGAGAGAGGGCTTTTCTAGAAAATTTAAAATGCGTGATTTTTTATGCATTTTTACCGTAAATTTGGAAATCTTTATTGTAATTTTATCACGTCGATTTTATTTTTTTCAAGAACGAGAACTGCGCCAATTCCGTTAAATCTCATTACCACATGGGTCGAGTATTTGAAGAGTGTCTGTATGAGAAAACGAATTGCAAAGCAAAAGATTGCCAGGTCCCATGGATACATGGATCCCAATATGCATCAAAATGACTTTCCGAAATATCCACTTTCTGCCGTACGTAGATACCAGATATACTTATGGAAGACGTATCGATGCAATTTATAATTATTTAGCCGTTTAAAATTTTTATTTCCATTTTTGCTTTATTATTTATATATTGTAAACATGTTATAATTTACTAATATTATATTGTATTTACGGTTATCATTACGGTTTATCATTATACATTCCAAAGTTTTAAAAATTTCCAGTTATCTTTGAAGATGTGCAATTTATTAAATAATTTCCGGGGTATTTGTATCTGTTCTTTCCGTCTTTTTAGAATAATAGAGTACTTCCATTACCACGAACGAAGGACAGCGTTAATTTTTCATTACTTCAATCGAGTCCGGCCAACAGTCAAAGTTCCTTGAGTAATATTCCGAGGATAGACAACGTCGTCGACTGGGATACAGTTCGTCGAAAATATCGCATGCAGTTTTGCGGCGAAATCGAGAAGCTGTCCGATGGAGTAGCAAAGCTTGCTTAAACAGTAAAATCTATATGCAACATATATGTGCAATAGGCGTCATTTTTTTATTACGCTCCTATTTTATATCGTAATGCATATATTTGTGTAATAGGTATCATACAAGTAAAATACTTTCTATACCCTTTTGTACGTTTCTCTGCGATATTGCTATATAATTGTAATAAAATATATATATGTGTCACAAGTAAAAACGCAAAGTTACATTATCTCTATACTATCTCCACCATCTTCGTTTTATATCACGCCTTTTCCAAATGGCGGTTCTGAGTTGGTTTCCAGATAAAAAATGCCCCGAGTGTCAATACTGATAAATTCACCCATCAGAGTGGAATTATTGCTGCATTTACCAAACTGGAAATCTATCCAACTGGCGCATTGTAGAGCGGGAAAGCCGTCAGCATGCACGATAGACTCGGCGAAAAATTGGTGCGATCTACCATGACTACAGTATTCTAAAGATGCAAATTTTAGATTAGTTCTGTCGCATATTATAAAACTTAAATATAAGCTGCAAATATGTTGACGATATCGTACGGGATGAAAGAACTGGGCATCCGGGTTGTCTGAATGTTCCGCCGTTCGGATAAAAATCTACGTGGCCGATGGGTCTGAGGATGCCCAAACTACCAGCACAAGTGTGTATAATATCGACGAAATTGGCGTCTGTAGAATCCAGCCGCTCTTTCGCATCTTTCAGGTAAGGCGTCTCGAACGCTGGTCCAGCCGGATCAAGTCCGGTAATTCGACCGAGTTTCCCCGACAGATAATTACCAGCATATCCGGCTACGTGGGCGCCTAAGCTATGCCCCAGTATATGGATATCATCGTAGGAAACTTGAACCTCCGATACGAGAAATTCTATAAACGCAGCCACGTATTCTCCTACCTGCAAGCACACAAATTTTGTGTGTATATATATATATATGTGTGTGTGTTTTCTTGTAAAAAATAAATATACTAGAATGAATCAAGTTGAAAGAATTTTGAGAACTTTGCGATATCAATTTTTATTTTAATATACTCATTATGAATTAATCTAAATGCGCATTAAAAAAAATTATCTCTATTGCGGCACGATTCGCGTGATTCATTCTGTATTGATATACATTTTGCAATTATGTATATAACGTTTTTAAAACCATAATTTCGAAAATTAGAGCTTCTTTTTGCTGATTTGTTAATTTTTTTTTTTAGGATATGCGAATTTATCGTTCACCTGGCGAATAAGTCTGACAGACGTTAGATATTCTTTGGTTGAACCGGCGGACCAATTCACGCAGATTACGTTGTAATCTCCAACGCTAAGATAATTTCGTCGAATGTTATGTAGCCAGAAAGTGTTTCCGTTATCCATCCATCCGTGAACGATGATCTTGGTTGGCCATGTAAAATTAAACGGCGAATCTTTCAATTGTGCACTATCACCCACTCGTAGAGAAACAGATTGCTCTTTATTATCCTTGGTGTACAGCTCATAATTCACATCTTCCGTTTTCAAATCCGAATCGATGATATTGCCGATCACCGCGTGATCATTTGAAATGACTGATGTCGGGTTCAGAAAAATCTCCAGAAGACCTTCCTCTGGATGGAAATCTTGAAAGTTTTGAATCGATGGCCGATGGCTTGGTAAATCAGCTGTATTAATAGGTACATCTAAAAACACCAATGAAAAATGATGAAAATTTGGGCGGCACTCTCACCTCTATTTGTAACTTAATCATTGTATTTTTGATTACAAAATTGAAGCCAAATAAAAAAAAAATTAAATTACTTAGGAGCAAAGATATGAAGAACATTGCAATAAGAAACATTGTACTATATTTTGATATTATTGCGTTGCGAAGTTTTTCTTATATACCTCGATGTTACATCAGCGGAAATCTTCTTATATCGCTCGATCTATTATATCTTATTACTAACGTCGAACAAGAAGTACATAATGAGGATTGCTCCACGAACTTCCGGCGTTTGTTTATCCTACTTAGTATATGAAAACAGTATAGAGATTGATATATAAATAGTTTCATGTACTATCTTACGTTTCAGGATCAGTCAAATATAATTGCATTTTTGCAAAAATACTTTATTAATAATAAAAAATACAAAGTACAAAAGTATTGCCGTATTATATCAAATTTTAACGCTAACTTATGATATATTTTAACGCTAACAATCAATTTTCTTTGATGGCATAAAACTCTTATCCTATTGCATACATCATATTGAAATCTTTTTAATAATATATGCGTAACGTCGAGTTTATCTATTTTTAAATTTTCTTTGTTTTATATAAAGTAATATTTAATATAAAGTCAATATTTAGATAATTTTGTTTAATAAGCAGATATTAAATCAATGTAAAAACGCTTTTCTTTTAAGATCTATATTTGTCTATAAAGAAAATTAATTATGATATATTTTTCTTTTGGCATAGAAAACGTGTAGATAATATAAGATTATCACAAAATTATAAACTTAAAGGATAGAAAACTAATATTTAATCTTTGGGAATATATATGATCGCATTCTGAAATGTCAATATTATTAAGGATATACAATGTTGGATTTTCATAAGAAAAATACTAGAAATCACTTTCTTGTAGAGAGCCAACAGACTCATATGAATTATCCTATAAATCTCCCCAGCAACTCATCGAAAAACTTAAGCATTGTCAATCAAGTAATCAAAAAAAGAAAAAGCTTAAGATTCGCTCAAAAAATCTTAAAATAGTGATATTATTATTACCACAGTATTATTATAACTTATAACAGTCCAACATGGTATTAAGAATTCTATAATGATGCAATTTTAATGAACAAGAACTTAATTTTATGCTTTGCTCTTTTGAAGATACACAAGTTCCTTGCCAAATCTTGAAGATGTAACAATATTCAATCCTAATACAGCAGCTTCTTCACGTACGATTTGAAGCTCTTCTTCTGTAAGACCTTCAGGAAGAGAGCGTCTTATATCATTACCATTGATAACGATTTCACATATATCACGTATGACTTTTCGGAATTCGTTAACTTTTATTTCTTTATTTCCAGACTTGAAACAATTTTCCCACAAGCGTTTTTCAGTTTCCAGATATTGGCGTTGTTTCACATTCGTCTGTTTGTAAAAAAGATATTATAATATATCTTATTTTAATATATTAGAAAAAATATATATTTTCTTTTTAATCTTCACAACTCACTAGCTTAATTGCTTTTCTAATATCTTCATTTCGTGGCTCCAATGTATAAGCTTTTTGCAACTCCTTCATTGCTTCAGCATACTCTCCAAGATTACACAAAGCTTTACCAAAACTAGAAGAAAAAATGATTTCAATCATGATATTAATTTAATACACAATTAATTTATAAATATTATATTAATTAACATATTGGCATACTTGTAATAAGTTTTAGTTGTTGATATCGGCACTCGCCTACAGGCCATGCAGGCATTACGTGGTAACTCTATTTTATTATAACATATCGCAAGATTAGTATAAGCCTTTGAAAGCAATTCATTCATTTCTTTCTCTTCCAAACTATCTTTTAATTGCACATTTTCTAAGCAATCAATTATTTTTTTATATCTATAAAAAAATATATTAGAGATATAATCATATATTATAATTGCACAAAAATTTCATAATATAATGATATTTACTCTCGTATTGCCCGTTTGGTATTATACTTTTTACAACTATCCTTAGCAGCCACAAGCATATGTATTACAGGCTCTACCACATGCTTAAATGAGTGCTTTTCTTCTATTTTAAGATTTTGATAAGTATCTGCAGAACCATCGTCAAGGTAGTCAATTAAATGGACAACAAATACTACTTCCTCGTTGGGAGGGATACGTGGCGGACAGCCAATATCTTTATAAGCAAGATCGGGATGTATTAGAAATACTGCTATTTCATGCTTCTGCATAGTACATATGCCAATCTCTAAACCAGGTATAATATACCCTTGGCCTAAACGCAGTGTCCTTGGCTTTCCAGAAGAATAAGTTGAATCGAAAGGTTCATCTCTGTCTTCAAAATATCCGATATAATGAATGGTAACTTGAGCATTAGAAGGAACAACCTCTCCAACACCCTTTTGCTTAACAAATTTCATGACCTAATATAAGATAATTTCATAATTAAAATTGTTTACAGTTTTAAGTAAAACAAGCAAAAGGTTACTTCATCAATTGCTTTAATTTTCACATATCAGTGAGTAATCTTTTTGCAAGCTTTATCCAGTTTTATCTAGGTCACTATTCTACATGGTTACCAATGGCTGTAAGTTCTGTAAGTGTCAATGCACGTTTTTTGATATGTTAAAATACGTGCGCAACAATATTTATAGAAGCTACAGCTATTGATAGCTGTGTATAGAATAATGACCTTAAGGTTATAGATGTATTAATCTCAATAGATTAAAAAAATATTATATCTATTATATCCTTTTTATGAAAAAAACAATTTGTAAATAATATAAAATATGATTTACTTTTTGATTTGGGGTTAAACTTGTCATCTTCGCTTTTAACTTCGCAAAGCTCATACCATAAAGGGATACAGATCCTTTCTCATCATCCCTAACATCTTCATCGTCAAAACCATTCATGTTTAACATATTTAGCATTTCCTCATTGCTAAATTGTACAAATGGAGAATATGAGAACTCTTCGTCGTCATCATCGTGATACTCGTCTCCAATTTCAAAAGTAACTCCACCTTCGCCTATCAAATCTCTAAAAAAATGATATAATCCAAATAAATATAATAAGAGTATAGTCTTGTATATGAGATTATAAATTGATCAGTTCTAACGTACTCGAGTCTGAATCCATTTACTGCAGGATCTATTATGTGTTTTGCCATTTTAATAAGCTAAAAGCAAAACAATTCTTCTGAATCGCAAAGAAATATTCTTTATCTTATATTCTTCTGAGTGTTTTTTCGGCTCGAAAATGTCTTCTTCTTTTTTAGCTATTCAGGCTTTTATAAAGAATTTACCTATACGCCAGTTGGTGTATCGAAGATGTCTAAAGCACAGACTTCTATATATTATACTTAGACTGCTAACACGGCTTTATCTTATGTGAAGCAAGGACAGCGGGCAGCCAAGTGTATATATAGAACACATATAAAAATAAAAATGCCAATGATTTTATAGCATATAAATATATAGAAATCTGTGATCTAAAGTCTCGTAAGATCACGTGATCTTATATGATATAGGATGCGGTCGGAAAGACGCTAGAAATGCTTCGAAGCGTTTGATTGACCAATCAGAACAAAGAGATAAGATTTCTTTATTCTAATTGGTTAATGCAATGCTTCGAAGCATTTCTAGCGTCTTCTCGACTGTAGCCATCATAGTACATAGTATATCTAGACCGAGTGTTGAGGAGTGGGGGCCGATGTGCACGTAGAAAAGGACATACTCTGTTTCGTGCCATTTGCGTTCTCTCTCGCTCGCACAGAGCATAGCGCTCTCTTTCGTCGTGCTACGTGCGAGCGAAAGAGAACGCAAGGGGCACGAAACAGAGTATGTCCTTTTCTACGTGGACATCGGCCCCAACTCCTTAAATAAAGGCAAACGCTCGGTCTAGATCATAGACATAGTATATCTAGACCGAGTGTTGAGGAGTGGTATATATATGAGGATCGGTATATATATGCGTGAATGAAAATATGAATCATTTCTCAATACTATCAATATCGATATTCCACATCGGAATACACTCAAAGATATGCATTTTACATTATATGCAAAAATGCATTATATATCCACTATATGCACAGAAAACTACCACGCAAACTGCACAATTGATGAAACTGTATTACACTGTGAGATTTATTATTCATGGCTTGAAATTATAAACTCTCTTGCTCCAAATTTGATTATCTTTCAATGCCACAAACACAGCACACACACACACAAAGTGAAAGGATCGAAAGAAATGATTGATATGTACACCATATGTATTTTTATTACATATTTAAAAGTAATAATAAAAATGTATATACATTTCACAATAATTGAATTATATATATACATTATATTACTAAAACATTTTTTTTCATAAGTTTTAGGATTATTATAAATATAAACATAATATATATATCATTTCTATATATAAGACCAACGCAAAACATTTTTGAGCATGTCATATATTATCAAAAAACATTTTCATTACAATTATGATTATTTTATTGTTAATTGATATACATGTAAATATATATTATTTTTCGTTTATAATAGAATGCGTGATCGCATTCTAAAGTATTCTAAATCGTCACGTAAACGTCACAAATGAAGATAGAAACATAATTACTTAGATAATCTCTCTTTTTTTTAGAATTGCTTGGGATCTAAATTTCTGATCAATGCCAGAGAATTATTATCGATTAGCAAGCAGAACGGATATGTAACCAGCTGACGTTTTGATTAACTGAAAACGTTACGTATATATGAATATATACGTACAGTGATAACAATGATAAATAATTATAAATCAAGAAAAAGAGAAAACAAAAAAAAATGATTCCCATTGAATAAAAGCTGCGTTTATACGAGCATTTAAATAAATGACGGATGTCTTACATTGCAAAACATGGACAATGTCATGGGAAATATTTTGCCTGCAGTGATGAGAAGAGGTCTTTCAGAACGAATCATTATCAACAACAGGTTTTTAGCTTCATTTGGTTTTAGTAAATATCATGTATAGTTGTATGCCGCATAATACACTCCTTCGGCCTGTAAATGTTATTATATTACGAAATCTTTTAAAATTTTTTTGACTGCAACAACCGAAAAAACAATATGTAATTATGTTATATCACTATTATATCGATGTTTAATAATTATTTGTACTAACAATATGTACTTACTTTGGCTATAAGAATCTCTCCGACCACGCAGTATAGGCACATGTGAACGAATGTATTAATGAGAATCGAAACGAGCCAACATGTTCGCATAAAGGAAACATCGCCGCTAACTCCGTCAATGATCTATAGATCGTATTAATATGCACCTGTGATTTTCTGCGCTATTTCTCGACGCGTTTTTGTTTGTCAAATTTATTTTAATAATCTAATTTATTTTTTTTTTTAGAAGTGTATGGATTATTTACGCGGAGAATTAAGTGTCACGACCAAGATAGTCTTTTTATGTCATTTTCATTTCCATTGGAACAAAAAATTGTGGCGATGGATATTTTATACTACCTGAGATTACAATGTTCAAAAAGATAGCTCTCCTCCCTTTTGGCAACTTACGGTAACTAACAGAAATCCTTGAACGCAAAATAACATAGCAAAATACACTAATAATGCCAGGAGCATCAAGTTGAATGTATTGTCGATGACATCAACGGACCTACGATATAAGATATTATATACTACATCGAATAGTTTTATTAGTAAAATGAAAAAAATAATATGTCTCCTGACATCACAATTTTTTTTTCAGGGTATTAAATTATCATGTGTGAATATTACATGAAAATGCGATAGAAAGTGTAATATATTTATGTTGGCGTTTGGCAAATAACGATATATATCCTCTGTATCGTTTAATGCAAAAATGCGCATAATATATAATTGTTTATTACAAGTTTATGCATTTATGGCTGATTATATAAGTAATGTGATAATAAAATATCATTTGAGTATCTTGAATAAATACGTTCAAATTTTTTAAAATCATATAAATATTATATATATCAGAGATACTTCAGCATGATGTTTAGATCTTTACACACATAAATGTATATATAAATTACAGAGTTTTTAAACCGAGAGAATTTAAAACAACCTAATGAGACGTAGGTGATCCTCAATATTGTAGGATAACCCGGTGCTGAAGTTTTTGAAATCGTTCAAATTGAGCAATCGCACTTTGAAAATATCCAGTTGAGCGCAGATATGAAATACAAGCAGCCCCAAGAAATTATCGATGCCCGTGTAAGAAATCGCGGCCATTATGATCGATATGGCTTGAGCGACGAACGCGATTTCGTAATATGGACTCTCCGTCATGTCTCGCAAGTAATATGTTGGCAATAGCAACGGTTTTGCACCATCTGTGAGATTCGTCAGATATCGTATTGAGTATCCAAAGCAAGGAGGAATGATGAGGGCGAAGGATGCAAAACTCATCATGATACATCCGAACATTACAATAGCTTTGGCAATTTTCGCTTGCTTTATCATGGTATCTCGTTCTTGCACAATCTTCGTCTTGATCCAATCGTCCACGACCATGTTTATGATGGGTACAAGATCTTTGGAGAAGAAATTTTAAAATTTATAGATGAAATTGTAATATACCCTCTTGAGACATAGATAAAGTAAAAGTACCGATAAAATAATATTCACGATAATATTCATGTCGACTTACGTTTTTTGCGGAACCACATAATAACAAATTTCAGGCCAATTACCGAATATGCTAGAGTGATCTGCATATTATCTGCCATCGCCAGCATGTCACCCCAGACCTTCAACAATGCTAACATACTGGGTATAACCGATGTGGTAAACATCGTGATAAAAATAATGAAAGAGCGTAGATTTGCCAAAAATTTTTGTCGATAATTCAACTTATCGTCCGGCCATAGACCAAGAATCTTCAGAGAAATCCGATTTATTCCGATCGCCCAATCTAAATCTACGTGAATTATATCTTATTTTTTCATTAAATCGCGTGTTATTTGCAACAATTTTTTTCTTTTTGGAATGTTTAATTGTTCGAATAATTGATGATAATTTAAGACGGAAGAATTCGTGAAATTTCACAGTAAACTTTCGCATACAAACGGTAATAAGACATAACAAGGTAATCAGCGTGCAAGTTTTCATCGCTTAGATTTTAAACGAAATCTTTTGTTCATCCTACTGATATTGTCAAGAAAACAACACATCTCGAATCATCCGCATGTATAGTACAGTTCATTATGAAATTTCACCAATTATTTATAATAACGACATATAAAAATATTATATAGAGTCCCACGTGAATTTCGAATCTCAAACGGTTTGCATAAAATGTATTTTTACGTTTACAATATAAAATTTACAGATCTTACTGATAACAATGAAGATATAAAGACCTGTGTATGCCAATGCCTTAGAATCATCCATGTCCGAGGCTAAACGTAGACTGACATTTTTTTATGAATTTAGCATTTTTCCCTCACCTCTCAGGACGCAGCAATTACGCATGCCCACGGCAAAAGTTTTGAAGTCCACATGCTAAGATGCAAAATGTACGGGCATGTGCATAAATATTTTAAATATCAATGTTCGCCGTGTCTTTTTACGCGTAATTCGGAGAATCGAATTCGTATAGCCCTCCTACATATAGCATCGCTAAATAGTCCATAAATATTTAAATAGGTGCAACGGCCTCCAATTTTCCCGACGTTTATTGCTAATTTATCTTCCCACGTCTTTTCTCACTGAACTTACTTTTTTTCAACAATTTGAATTTTCTGAAACTTAACTAACGCGTCTCTGCTACTGTTGAGCAAACTTTAAAAATACAAAATATTAATATCGAGATCGCAAAGTTTTACAAGCGATACATTTTAATGATACATACAGTTTATATCAACGAAAAGTGGCAACATGAGAAATGTGCTAACTAACAATAAGATCATTGTAAGGATTAACAAAGTAGGATGAATATACGTACAGAAGAAAACGTGTCGCGCATTTAACATACTTCAATGAAAGATAAAGAATCAATTTTATGCATATATACATATGTCTGCATCAAGAGACAAATCGTTCATATAAGTGTGCGAGAGATATAATATTCGTTAATATAGTTCATTGTTTGAAGTGGTGCGATTGATGTGTTATGTGAAATATTAAAAAATAATAACTTCAATAACAATTTCAAAATGTAAACTGCTATGTTAAATATATCTGTGAGCTATGTGTATAATTTATTACTCTAGCATATATATATATATATATATATATATATATATATATATATATATATATATATATATATATATATATATATATATATATATAGATATAATGTTATTAATTTAAAACATTTTAAACGTAAGTCTCTCTATAATTTATCGAAATTTTAAATCAAGTGGCTTGGATGATATATGAAGCAGTTTTGATAAAATTTAAAATATTCTTAATGCAAATATGATTATTTATTACAACTGATTATACATTATGAGAATATTTCTTTTGTTGGAATTAGCAATATCATTTTTTCACGTGAAGGCACAAATTAATCAGTTTGGCGCATTAATTAAACGCTGTTTGACGGTGTATTCTTATTGCTTTATCAAAAGAGATTCTATCGAAGATTGTTCAAGTCAATGTCCAAGTATCATCGATTAGCGAGCAGTACGGATATATAACCAGCTGATGTCTTGATTAACTGAAAGCAAAATATACATAAGAGAGATTTATTGTTAGCGATAGAAATAAATGGTTATAAGATATTTATATAAAATATTTTTTAAAAATATTATCTAATTTAATATTATACAGAAAATTATATAAATAGTTAAGTAAGGATAACAGGCTATCTTACGCTACAAAACAAGGATAACGTCATTGGAAATATTTTTCCGGCGGTAATATAGAGAGGTCTTTCGGCGCGAATCATTATCAACATCAGACTTCTGGCCTCATTCGGTTTCAACGTATACCATGCATAATCATATGCCGCATAACATATACCTTCACACTGCATACATATTATTGTTATCTAAATAAGTGTATATTAAAATCTCTCTCATATACGCAAAGATTCACGCTATCATTATTATGCGTTAATCGCTGATCTAAAACGCCGTAGTGTAATAGACTAAAGTGCTAATATCGCTTATTAAGAAATAATCATGGATATATATATATATAT